TAATTTGAAATGGTTCATATGCGTGAAACTCAAAACGAAATTCTTTGTTGTAATACAATTTGTGAAGATTTTCAAACAAATCACATTAAAATTGTATCAAAATATAGCATTTACACGGCGTATCGTATCGACCCATGACTGTCGACCAACAATAAATCCTTGCGGATTGTGTGCACAAATGAAATGAAACAATGTATCTGTCATGTTTACACTATTAAACGGGTATTTAATAATCGCTCGAAAATAATTTCGTTCATAAAATTTGCAATAATATTTATGCATAAACTAAATAGAAATTTGATTGAGAGACAAATGTAATAGTTTGCATTCGAAATTGAATAGACTCCAAAATGTATGAAACAAGTCAAGATTTGCACTCAAGCGCAACAAAATTGATGCGAATCAAAATAAACCAAAAGATATTTGAATGGTTTTTGTAAATTTTGTATTCAAATATCTGCAAATTCACACATGATGATTTTTCGTTCCATGCGCATATATTCTCTTTTTTTTGGTGCGATGGAGACCACATTCTGATTATTGTTATTTCGCACAATGTTCTACCACATCCAGACACACATCACAACCATGCAAATCAAATAAATAACAAATTTATTACTGAATTACAATGTAAACAAAATTATGCCATTCAAATAATGTGTATTTCAGTTGAATGCATTCGTACATATATACGAGTGCAGCGCAAGAATTTTATGTCAGACCGATAAAATACACATTTTGATTGCACATCGCGCATTTATTCTCATTTTATGTTCTTTCCATATTTGTTTGCAATTATTTTGTTCGGGCTTGTCCCGTACCGTATATACACATTCATGACGTTTATCTTTCCCTTTTTCACTAGCGCAAGTTCGACGAAGCTGTTTCGATTTTAATTTCGATTTTTTAAAAACAATTTTATTTCAAATGGAAAAAACTCTTTCTTGTAAAAAAAGCTTCGAAATAAAAAAAAATGCGCTCACGTTTTCCGAGAAATGTCTTTACTCAAGCTATTTATAATAATTAACATACAAATAAGTTGAGATTTGAGAAATTATTATTACTGCACTTGGAACCTTGCCAATTGACGACCAGAAGATAATAAAACGAACTAACGAAATATGGATTTTTTTTTGGAATTCACGCTATAACTCAACTCTTGAGTATTAAAACGGCATCGTACTTCACTTCTCTCTATCTCCCACCCTCTCTATATTCCTCTCTCTCATGGGAGTAAATTTAAACGATTTGACTAGTGTTATATTTACATTTGGACTGAATTTACTCTCGTATGCACATTGTGTGCTTTTGCATAGTTTATTCTCTTGTTTCGGCAGTAAAGATATGCAACATACGTTATGCATAATATGCATTGCATATACATAGCAAGAAAACGTTTAAATATCGAGTTAAACTGCACTAGTGCACATTGATTATGATGCAATTGTTCAATGAAATTGAAATGATTTCATATCAGTCAAGAGTTAAACTTTCATGTTCGAAACGTTAATTTCAAATTTAATGCACAGTAATAATGTTTCTGCTTTAAATCCTTTACGAATTTGAAGAAATTTGTTTGAATAAGCACATTTCGAGATATATTCCAATCGCTATAAACTTCGATAATTAATTATGGTATAATAATTTCGTGTATAGTTCCACTAAACTATGAAGTTCGTTGCATTTTACGGATGTATTTAATTCAAATTTATAAACCAATTATCTCAAACTGAAAACTAAGCAAACTATCTCGTCTTTCACGTGTAGAACACGATAAAATGCGAGTAATAGGTGTAATTAAATTAGCACATAAACAGTTATTGTTCATGGGAAGACACATACACTCTTTACAGCAACGAGAGAGAGAGAGAGACTGCTTGCTATTGGCGTTGCCTGCGCTAAATGAAGTGTATAATTAAGTTTTCAACTATAATTTCAAAATGAGATATGCATCGCATGCCCTTTTCGAAACAGGTTGAAGTTCGCAAAGTGACCGTTTCGTTTTCGGGATCGTGCGTTAGATTCGTGTTTATCATCTATAAATTCATGGATGGTGAAAATCTCGTATGAATAAATTTCGAATGAGTATGCTTTTCCGTTGCCACACACACACATGTGCAATGGTTTGTGCACAAGCTTTGTACATTTTTGCCAACATAAAATTGTCCGTATCATTTTTTTTCTTCTTCTGTTTTGCAACTGCTGCAATGTCATGTAAGTGGATAATTAAATTTTTTCCCATTTTCAAATTCTTTGGCAAAAATGAAAATTGGAAAATTTTGTATGGCAGGAATAGATAAAATGGCAAACGGAACTTGATCGGATGGTTGGAAAACTTTGCTACTGAATGCGATTATATTTTCAATTTTATAGTGTCATAGCGAAAACTAGCGATAAAAACAAGTGTTGGTTCAATTTTAATGGAGCAACGCGACTATAAAAAATTTATTGGACGCTTGATGATCCGGCTATTGAAACCATAATGCCTCCCAATGGAAAATTCAAACCGAAGAAATGCACCTTTTTGTAATGAAGTTATTTTATGTCAAACTTTTATTCCCGAGGCTTTTTTCACTCTTGCTCTTTTCCGCTATTTTCTTGTCGCTCACTTAACAAAAAAGAACCAGTTTAACACATTGTACAGCTCAATATTCGTGTATGTTTTGTCGTTGTGGTTTTTCTTTCGAAAATTCAATGTAAGTAAAATGTTTCGTGTAAATCCTAACCGTAAGTGTTTATTACGTATATTAGCATATTCATTGGTGTTTTTTTGTGTATGCCGTTTGAATGAAAGAAGGAAGAAAACTTTAACATTTCTAATTATTTTTTTTAAAGTTCAATTTCCCTTTGTAGTTTTGTTATTTCGTAATGTTGGGCTCGCTATTTTTTTTCAACTCTTCAAATGTTTGTCGAAGGCGTTAAGAAAACCGCTATCAAAATTAAAATTTTATTTTCAATCCGCAGACATGAATGAAATTTCGTTTAAAGTGCAGCAAATACTATAAAAAATGTATGAAAAGTAGACGATAATAAAATTGAAATCATACGGAGAGGGAATTAAAATGGCAAAAGTGGCAAACGGCATGAATGTGTCTGGCAAATGAAAGTCATTTCTTGAATATTTTATTTTCCATTTTGTTGGTTTTTGTGGCAAAAACCATTTTGTTCGCATTGAAATTTTTCAATTTGGTTAAAAACCTTTGCGAACCATAAACCACAGTAGCACACAAAGTTGAACCACAACGTTCTCTGCTCACAACAACAACGAAAAAAAAAGTTGGGTCAGCAAAAAATGTACCACTTCGAACTGCAGATTTCTATAAAGACGAGAGGGATACTCGATAAAAGCATGTACCATGAATGGAAACGATAAGTTTTGGGGTATTTTGGAGAGCCAACAAAATTTTAATAAATCTGTGAATGTGAATGCTTTCGACATGCACACACACGATAGATTGACAGAAACCTTTCAAAACTGTGCAAATACAAAGCAACATAAACACGGGTGGCCACATCGGAGCCGTTTCCATAGATGAAGTTTTCTCGATTGAAATTCAATAGCTTCAACTGTTTTATGACCTGAAACGTAAGCTTATTGCTTTACAATGATATTGCTTTAGTTTCCAATATAAATCCTTTCACACGAAAATCAAATCACTCTTGATCTATTGGTCTTCCCCATTTTATACCGACATTTATAATACATTTATCGAAGCAGAACTTTTCTTTTATTGCAATAGTTGCGAGTGAAATAAGTGCATCGTATAATAATAGTTGTATTTGACAATCAAATCGAATCACGGAATCGAAATTCTTAAAAATCATTTCATTTATTGTACATGTGTCGTCAAACATGACGGAAGTTTCAACAATCGTACCCGAGTTCGACATGGATCAAACCGATCAAACACAGGAAAATCCATATGAAATGTTAATTCTGTCATTCTGATAAAGCCATCAATGAATAAATGAAGCGTGAGCTGTAAACGTCATGGAATGTTTATTTTCTCTGGCAATCAATAAACTAACTACTTGTGTCAAACTAACAGTTTTGCACAATGAAACAATTGCATGAAGCAATACTTCGTGGGTGCCAACAATATGACAAAACAAAGTCGACGAAAGCGATATCAGTTCGAAAATCACCACACATACAAATGGTAAATGTGTCTCTGTGCATTAAATGCGAAATAAAATCAACTGGACGCCGTTTTGTAGTGCAAAACGAAATTGAATTGGCGATTGTGATGAAAAGACCAAAGCAAACTCATGCCACTTGATGAAGATGGATTGATGAATGGCAAAACATGTCAAAAGCACACCATGACAAAACTTCTTTTTTTACTCTCTTGCATCCCATCGCACCAGTCGCCTCGCGTCACTGTTCCATCGCATATTTTATATGCGACAAAGATGAAATACACTTTTCGCACACAAATACATTTTACACAGTAACAGCACCAGCAGCAGCAGCAGTAGCTACAGCCAGTGCCAATAATAGTTGTTTCAACATAAAATTCTATTTTCGGTTTTCGTTTCATCACATTTTCTCCAGTGATTTTTGTTCCATTTCATCATGCCATTCAATGTTTTACTCTATATTGTTTGTGTCCGCGTCCCGCAGCACGAGTTTGTCGAATCATCGTTTATTTATTGATTTTTTTTTGTTGTGTGTGAGTTGGGTGAAAAACTTTTGCGTTTGACTTTTAAGCTGGCTCGTGTTTCTGTAGTTATATGAACCGATTTGAATTAATGACGTCTAAATAAATATTGTACATGGTAAATGAAACGATACTTTTGGCTACAACAAACTTTTCTCTTAACCGGATAAATTTAATAGAGTTTTAATATTTGCCCGCTTTGTTCGGCGATTGGATTTTTTCACGCTTTTTCTATTTTTTTTTTTTTGCTTTTTTTATTGTCTGTACTGTGTAGCAATGTTGTCAACAAAGAAACATAATTTTTCAGCGGTAATGAAAGAAAACTTGATAAAAACTTACGTGTGAAGTGTGATTGACCACCGATTGCTGATGATGATTGTTGGTAATATGATTATGCTGCTTGTGGTTCCATTCACGTTCACAATCTCTGTCTTTATCACGATCTTTGTCCCGTTGTCCGGTATCAAGTAGTTTGATTGGCTTGTCTTCCAGTGTAGTCAGTTCAGTGATTGATGACAAGCGTTTTTCATTGAGTTTGGTTGCCAATTTTATAGCATACTGCAAAGAAAATGAACAAAAACAAAAATAGAAACCTCAATTAGAAACACTTCACTTTAAAATTTAGAGTGTTTTTTATTGGGTCTTGCTGATGAGATATTTAAAACTCAATTACATGGCAACCTTTTCAATTCGAATCGCATGAAACGTTAATTATAGTTGCATAGTAAGTGCTGGAATAAACGACTAATTTCTAATCGATAAATAAATTAAAATGGTTGCACAATTTCTTTTTGGCCCTTCGTGTGTGTGTGTGTGTCGTTCTGTGTGACCCGAAAAATTGCAATGCAAAATCATGGAAAATTAATAGTGTGCCAAGAGAATGATATTAATGACTTTTTGGCGGAGAATAAATTTGAACGCGTCGCTACTTGTGTATACAGCACAACGTCATGCCTTCTTGTTCAACAACGCCAATAATCATACTTATGATAAATAATAATGAGGTCATTGCAAAACAAGTTCCGAGAGCAAATTGGTTGAATGCACGTCAGTTGTAAATTACAGAAATTGCACCAGTTTTATGCAAATGCAACCGAAATACGATGTCTGCATCAACTTTTGGAAACTGCAATAAAATGGAAAACTTTCTGTCAGCTTTAATTGTTTGGATTTTGTGAACAATGATTTTCAGCATATTGTAGACGGCAGACATTCAACCGATTTTCTTTGCCAAAATGTCAAGATTCCTTGCACAAACGACTGAAATCGAATTCATTTGCTGGCTGGAAGTGTTGGGAACGGTGCGTTTTGCAGCAGCAAACTTCTCAAAATTCATGCGATTACCGAGACGCTGACTGAGATTCAGCCACGATAATTAATGAGCTCCGGGATAAACAAACAGTCGTAGTGTCGTGTGATTTGTAGATTTGTATCCATCAAAAACAACGACTATTAATTTATGACAATGAACACAAGTGAAATGATGGTAAAATTGCAACATCACAATTCGCTTTAAAGTTTGCATCGTTCCATTCCGTTTAGTTTCAGCTTTTGGTTCCAATTTGTAGTTTAAAACATCCAGAGTGTGGCGCAGAGTATTGTCTGGCCACCCAGGGCCCGCATTGTTTCCACTTTACCAAGAATTGTAATAAAATTTTATTGCAATGACTTCGCTCATGTGTTCGGGTGCTAATTCACCATCTTACGGCAACACATTTCTTGCGGTCGTTACACATCGTTTATAAAGCATGTCGCACACATGAGCTACACATCTATAGCAATATATTCCTTTCGCTTAGCTTTCTCCCATTCTATCACATTGATATTTACTCTAATTTTGTTCCATAAACCATTTGCACATATTAAATCCGTTGGTGGCTCATTGGCCCAAAACTTCTTCAAGCGCTTAAGTTTTATGATGTTTTTTTTTTCTCGAAAGGCTCTACCACTTTTGGATAGTTTCGGTGTGTGCACAAATGCACATAAAACTTGCAACGCACGCTTTTCCACATTGCATGGGCAATTTATTTAATTTCAAGTAAATTAAAATTGCATATGGTTATTATTATATTTAATAAATGGCTTGTGTAAATTATAAGCATTATCGATGAATAAATTATTCGCTTCAAAAGTGCCGACAACCAATTTTATGATGACATGATCGTGGCAGAAAATTACAGATTCAAAAATCACTTTAAATGGAACATAATTCATACACTATACGCATACATGTTCGTACTAAATAATGGTTTCAAGTGTCCACGTGCTGAGTGTATAAACAAGCGAAGAATATAAGCAGCTTAAGGTTTTCCATATTAAAGAGGGACAACGGTGAATTTGCATTTGAAAAATAAGATTCAGTTCTCAAAGAGAATAATAATTTTCTTAGAAGGTGTTAAACGATGCTGTTGTTAAACGGACGGAAAGTCGGTACATAGAAGAATGCAAATCTGTTATCGATAGTAGTAATCTGCTTGTGAATTGCTTTGCTTGCTCTTTAAATGTATATAATCGTATTTCATTGCATAACAGAGACTAAGCCAACGGATCACATTTCATTGCATATACAAATAAAATCGATACGCTTTGAAGCTTGATTTAATGCATTTCGAAAATGGTTTCATACACGCAAAACGATACAATTCGAAAATAAAAACCCTTTTTAAATAGCTAAAATCAACATGAACATTATTTATTTTGATAAATATTGTCAAGTGTTTCATGTGAAATTGCACTTTAATGTAATAGAAAATCAATAGAAGTTTTCATTTTCTGAAATTAATTTACTCGATTGAAAACTTCAAACATTGGCAGCAAAACATAATGTCATGATTGCATGTAACTTTCGAATGTTTTCGTTTTATTATGTCAGGGCATTAGTTTTTAGTTGCCAATTTTGTAGTGTATCCTATAAAAAAAGGAATTTCATGAATAAAATGCCACAAGGAAATGAATGCGATTGGAGTCACTCCAAATTCTTATGAATCGAGAGCGCGAACTTATATCCCAAGGACAAAATGAATTTTCTTTTTTATTTTCAAATATGTCAAGCGGCTCTAGGATAAATAACGAATATTACTTTATGACGATCATGATGGCAGTTTATACATTTATTGCCAATAGCATCGGCATTGAATTTTCTCATTTCTTGGGAAACATTACACATTTATGCTGAGGATATTTTGTAATAGTCAAAGAATGGATGGCTGCGAATCGCTGGTAGTAAAAGTGCCGAATAACGAAAGATTATTTTGCATAAGAAAGTAACAGAGGATGATAACGATCAATAACATTATAAAATGCATGTCGACACGCGTTCAAGCATACATTGCAATGGAGGAAGTGACACAAAAAATTTTCAAATATGCAGTGATATATGATATTTTTCAGCTTGCACTCCTTCGGTTTATGAAAATGCTTTGTCAGCATTGATCCCTGTGTCGTTCAATATAATGTCGTATATCTTATTATGCCACAACGAAATGGATTTCCCGCAATAAAAATAACATTTATTGTGAGTAATTTTATTGATTTTATGCAGAACACGAAAGCACCACATTTTGATTTAATCGAGTCTGATAAAATTCAACATTCTCAACCCTATGCCATAGAGCCATAGTGAAATAATCGAGCAAGTGCTTAGGAAGAACAGACAGAGATAGTGGCATACTAAGAGACAGATATTATTTGCTAAACTAAGTGGGAATTTCTCAGATTTCATCATTAGATCGTTTACAAAGAATATGGTGACATCGAGTGTCATGTGCGCATCACATTCAAATTATGATTTGGTTTTATGCGCTTCAGTTCTTCAGATCTAAGTCATTTGGTCGTTGCTTGTAATAAAGAAAGATATCGTATGTGTGTGGGTGTGTGAGAGTATGTACGGTATTGGAGTGCATAACTGTGCTGTGTCGTCTATCGTGATTATTTCACATTTTCTACACATGCAATAAAAATGAAAACAACCATAATCGTGAAATTTTTTTTTCATGACAATTTTATCTATGAAGGACATATTACATAATGCTAAATATTCTCTTTTTTTCGTTTATATTTTATGACCTGCTTTCTAACTGGATTGCTCTCGGTTTTATCTCTACCGTTTTTAAAAGAATGTGAATCTTCTTTTTTGTCGCGGCGAAATTTCATGAAGCGAGCAATATGTCAGACAATAGCTGAATTGCGAACGTCACACGAAGACGAAGTAAATATTCATTCAGCTTCGCACGTTAACTTGATTGCGTCGTATTTTTATAACATCATAACGTTGCATGCACTAATTCGCATCAACGGAGAAATTCGCTTGAATTTTTGACATTCTCATCGAAATGAATCTCTTTTCAATTTTCATTTTTCATTTGAAATGACAATCGTTTCGTTGCGATTTTTCATTCTTATTTTCGTCGATATTTTTTTTATATCGCACACTGAACGAAAAATAAAATCAATAAAAATCACATAAGTCTTGGATATACGGTTTTTTTGCACGATTTGTAAACAAAAAGCAAACAAGAGCCAACAATGAATGCAGAAGCGTATAAATATGAAGCAAATAAAGTCGTTAAGTGTGAATTTTCTTGCTAAAGAGATTATCGCTTTGGCAACAAAAACGATACTCTGTGCCATACTTCGGTAGATCCGATGCATTTTCCACACACAAAAAAAGGAGACGAACGAACGAAAAATAAAAACCGAAGATACAACTACCAAACCAATAAAGCGGCAAATCACGAGAGAGAACCCAGTAATGTTCTTCCTCAAAACCATTTCATGAACTCATTCCATTTCGGAAACTTTTTATATTCGGCGATTTTTTTCCGTTCGATATGGTCTGTTTCTTTTGGCTCGTTTCTTTGGCGTTATTTTCGTTGAATAGAGGAGCAAAATCGTTTTGGCAACAATAAAACAACAGCGCAGCGAAAAACATGGAACTGGATATAAAATGAAGTAGTATAAAATTTAGGGCAATTACATCGAGTTGATTAAAAAGCGGCAGTCACACTAAATGTGCTTAAACATGACCGATGAACGGAAGGGAAAAAATGCAACCGAATTTGTAATTTTTTTTCTCTTCTCATTAAAACTACTCGAGGATACATTTAGTCAACCGACAACAATTCGTTCCACATGAAAATAGTTGTTATTATTAATATTTCCTTCGTTGCTCCATTTTTATGGCTAATTAAAATGCCAGAGAAAGATTTTAATAGCTTTCGTTTCATGACTCACATTTTCAAAATAACATAAAATGTTTGTTTACATTGTTGAGTTGAGTTTACATTTTTTTTCTTCTCTCTAGCAAATAGACACTTCAATGAAGTTAGTTTACAATATTGTAGCGCATTTTTTGACCCCTTATAAATTGGCTCTTTGTAGTTGAAGAGCGAAAGTAGCTGGAAACTTGATAGCAAAATGTAGTATTCAATGCATTTCAAGCATCACTTTACAATGAATTTCAGTTTGTTTTTCAATGTTATTTTCATTTCACTGGAGTATCAAGTTGTTACGTATTACCACCAGGGTGAGACAGAGAGAGAGAGTATTGTTTACTGGGA